TGGGAGAGACATGTGTACTACTACTGTGGGAGAGAGACATGTGTACTACTACTGTGGGAGAGAGACATGTGTACTACTACTGTGGGAGAGAGACATGTGAACTACTACTGTGGGGGAGAGACATGTGTACTACTACTGTGGGAGAGAGACATGTGTACTACTACTGTGGGAGAGAGTCATGTGTACTACTACTGTGGGAGAGAGACATGTGTACTACTACTGTGGGAGAGTCATGTGTACTACTACTGTGGGAGAGAGTCATGTGTACTACTACTGTGGGAGAGAAACATGTGTACTACTACTGTGGGAGAGAGACATGTGTACTACTACTGTGGGAGAGTCATGTGTACTACTACTGTGGGAGAGAGACATGTGTACTACTACTGTGGGAGAGAAACATGTGTACTACTACTGTGGGAGAGAGTCATGGTACTACTATCTGGAGAGAGACATGTGTACTACTACTGTGGAGAGAGACATGTACTACTACTGTGGGAGAGACATGTACTACTACTGTGGGAGAGAGACATGTGTACTACTACTGTGGGAGAGATATGTACTACTACTACTGTGGGAGAGAAACATGTGTAGACTTCCACTCTACAGTACAGGGGTTTACTCATTTTTCCTTCACTCAGAACGGAAAAGTAATTGAGTCAAAATTCTGACGGCCTGGTATTTTGTTGCTGTTGTGTTTATTGTTGTTTGTGTTGCGATATTTTGTTTACATTGAGTTACCTGTGTGTTTATACCGTGACAAATCTTGTTTATACCATACAGACAAGGTGAAGGTTTTCTCCCACCAGCGTATATACACTGGTGGGGGATAGGAGGTGGAGGGCTAATCTTCACGTGGTCCCTGTTTGGTTTATGCTGTGCCTAGTAGTGGCATTTGTTTGCATCCCTGATCACTTGTTTGTTTGTGGGACCTACTGTTGTTTGTATAGGTTAACAACCCTTTATCCGAAATTCTAAAAACCGAAAAAATTTTTGGAGGGCAATTTTTTTTTTTTTTTAAACGATTAGCCCACCCGGGCATAGATCGCTGACCCACATCGGGACCTGGGGCGAAAATGTAATAGTAATAATAATTATAATAATTATTCATAGTAAATAAAAATTTTAATAAAAAATACACCAAAATAAAATAATAATAACAATAATAATGATGATGATAATAATAATAATAATAATAAAATATGATAATAAAATTAATAATAATAATAATAATAATAATAATAATAATAACAATAATACTGTAATAATAATAATAACAATAATACTGTAATAATAAAATAATAATAATAAAGAAATACAAGAATGAAAAAAAAGATCAAAAGTGAGAAACACGACCTAGACTTATGAATTATTTTATTTTTATTATATTTTCGCCACCCGCGCCCCAATGTGGGTCAGTGACTTGTCGGGTGGGCTAATACTGTACACCAAAAAAAAAAAAAAAAATTAACCATTCTGAAAACCGAAAAATTTCGAAATCCGAAATGCCTCTGCCCCGATTTCGGATAAGGGATTGTCAACCTGTACTGTTACTGTTTGACATGGCTCTGTTTATTGTATGACCTTCATGACACCTGTTGATTGAGGTTTTGGAGCATCTAAAGACTAGGACCTGAGCTAATTTACTTTTGATTAATCACCCTAACAGACCTAAGCTGACCTATCCTCTTGCTTACCTGACCTAATGTTACACTAAATTACCTAACCTAATACTAACGTGACCTTATGCTAACCAAACACTGACCTAACTTGATCTAACCTAACCAAATTTACCCCAACCAAACTTAATCCCTCCAGGTCTCATTTGAATATTTAATTATCAGGTGAAATAAGCTGAGGTGGCTAATCTTCAGGTGATCCGATATCATATACAGTACAGTACTTGTATGAATCATTACGCTGTAGACTGTTAAAAAAATTCTGATTACATACACCTCGCTGTTTGACACTTCTGCACTGTACAGACGTATTAATTTAACATGGCAGCTTTTCTGCCTCTTGCTCATGACTACTGTACTGCATTGTACTGTATATTGTGTACATCATTGGCCTGGATCAGTCTTGTGTTGAATGATGACTACTTTTGTGTTTCTTTATTCATTTTAGTCTTCCCTGCTTAAGTGAGTGGCTCCATACTCTTATAGCTTCTGTATGTGTGGTACTGTATCAGTATACAGGCACCGTATACATGTAGTTCTTGTGTTGTGGAAACTTATGTGGAGGATGTAGGGTACTGAACTTGGTCTGCTGTATATATTTAAAATGTGTACCAGTAGCTCATTTACTCCATGGCTGAGTGATGGTCTTGGCGGATACAGTATTATTACCTCACCTCACTTTACTGCAGCTAACAACCTTTCTGTATTCTTTAATTTGATGGTTTTATTAGTTCAAGAAATTTGATGTATTTTGGTGAATCAGATGAGTGCCACTGTCAGGTGTACATACACACACTGGGGCCTTAGATTTAGCATTAAACCAATCATTTCCCCTTGCCTGAAAATATTGACTTAAGAAAGATTTAAAAGTACAATGATGGATGGTAGACAAAGGAGTGAGCAAGGATTGTGCAACTGCATCACTGTTGGGTCATGAAACAATTCTCCGCATCAGTGTTGGTACTGTACAGTATTCTTTTTAGGTGACTGACACTGTAAAGAAGTGCAGTGTTATTAATTCCTGTAGATGTAATGTTGTGGCAGCAGCCTGGCTCATGGGGGTGTTATCCAGGAAGGTGGATGGTAGACCTGGCTGGCAGGAAGTTCTGGAACAAGCACCATGTGTGGCTATTGTTGTACAGTGTAGTGTGTCTTTCTCTTGAGGGAAATTAAATAAATACAGCACAGTGGAAACAAAACCACAACTTAAGTACAGATTTTCGAATATGGCATTGTTTTTATTTATTAAGTAAGCTTTTTTTTCTATCTTTGCTAATGTCCAGAAGACAATTTTTAACTTAACACAAACAAGTGACCATTGTTCTGTACAGTACATGTGAACTACAGTGGTAAGATACCCACACATGCGTAGGATAAGGTGAAATAATGTTTTAAATATTTAAAGTGTTGTAATATTTGATGATTTATAGCTTTTGTAGATACTAACAGTTCAGTAAGGTCGTAGTGCTATAGTATAGGTACTGTACCGTACTGTAACTGGTAAGTCTATTCCCAGGGCTGTGTTAAATTCTCAGGCTTCAAGTTTTGTTATTATATATGGCAACATTAAAATTATGTACGAACTTGTTTAATATTCCTTGTTTTTGTTTGTTTTACAGAAATACTTATTAATGGGGGAAATAGAAAATATGCAGTATATCCTTGATGAATGAATCAGACAAACTGCTGTGTGTTGTTGATACATTTGCTTCACACTAATGGAGTCACCCATCACTAAATACTGTAATTCTTTTTACCAAGTACTGTATTCTGATTCTACCAACGCTGACGAGGGTGTTGTAGCTCCTCAGCTGGTCGTGGGCAGCCAGATTTAATGTTTGATAAATGTAACAAAATAAAATGCAATCATGATTCTAGTTAATACTGTCGTCTGTCATTGATTAAATATACTGTAGCATTTATAGTTGGGTAGATTAGAAAGAGCTTAATATATTTTGCTGCATTAGTCAGACCCTTGCCTGAATTTCTTGCCATGATTGACAATGATTTGTTCATAATGGACACACACACACACACACACACACACACACACACACACACACACAAAACCAGTGACCAAATTATGGCAAAACATTTAAGATGTGTTCTGATATTATGGTTTCTTAGGAAAACTTTACTCAGCATTTCCATGTACAGTATTGATAACCGGTAGTTTCACGGTGATGATCCAGCTTGCAGCATCAGCCAGTGTCAAGGGGTTTTACTCACAAGTTCAATAACCTTTTAGAGATTTTCTCCTTGACCTTGTTTTGGAACTCAGTGAAAACCTGTGCTCAAAAATCATCTGAAAACAAGACTACAGTATCAGTTTAAAAGAATAGAGAACCTTTACATGGCTCCATCACTGACTGATTGCTTGTTAAGGCTGCTGCTGTTCCTGCTTTATCTCATCCTTGATCTAAGAGTCGCCAAGTGATTCAGTTCACCCAGTGTTTACATATTGTTGTCAATCACCTCCAGCAAAGCCTGTCGGTAGCCTATTCTTAAAGTTCACTGTCTAGAAGAAAGAATAGCTTAGTGCTCTACAGTTCCACTTGAGGATGAACAATTCAGTTGTCTACTACATGTGATGTGGTAGACATTCCTGCCATTGTTCACACAGGACAACCGAGCCACCTCACAGCACCTCAGACGATCATGTTACAGTACTTCACCCAGCCTCTGACCAGAGGACTGTACTGTACTGCCAGACATAACCGCAGTGATAGAAGAGTTGACTAATGCCTCTGAATTACTGTTGGGGGGGGGTGTTATTGTGTGAATCAGTAATCGTTTTTTTTAAGGGAAAGCTAAGGTTGTACGGTCAGTTGAACGAGTTTATTTCAAGAATTGTTCCATAAAACATGACATTATTCAGTGAAATAAGAATTCCTCTGTTGGTTAAAATACTGTGCAGTATTTTTAAGGACAATTGCATACAGTATTTGGCCAATCTGGAGGGAGTGTAGAATAGTTTATGTACAATACAATGTACCTTGTTATACCAAACATAGTCAAAGAATAAAGGTCAGCACCCTTAGCATCGTGGGTTTGGGAACATAAGGCACAGTAAGTGTAACGTGTTATTTCTTAGACCGGTACTGTATATTAAGACTGCAGGTTGTCTTGCACATGGCCCCACACTTCACCTTGGTGCTCTACCGGTTATTTCCTGTATTTCTTGAGGGGAAGAGTCTACCCCATCAAGAAATATGTAGTGTTAACGAAACTTCTCATTTTATTTAATATTTTATTTTTGGAAGGTCCAGAATAGAGCTTGTGGTTTTTATGACAATATTAATGTTATTATTGATGTGTCCACAGATTCAAGAGTTGCAACAGCGGATAAACCACCTACAGCAGCAACAGACACAGCCACAGCAGTACCTACAGCAGACACAAACAAGCATCATCAACGTGAGTACCTTTACAGCACCGTTACCTCACATTTTAAAACATTGCCAGTTTTGTCCCCTACATGAGATTGAGAAGACCTGTAGTTACTGTACGTTAGTGGTCCAAATTGACATTACTGTACTCTTTTTATCCAAATAACGTGAAAATACACCGTGTTTGTTGAAGGTTTTATGGAGACTTCCGTTATGTTTCCTAGTGATTAGTTTTGATTAAATAAATATTACATGCTACAGTATAGTACAGTGATGGGGTAACAGTATAGGCCCTGAGCTATGGCCTCTCATCCAATTCACCAAGTTTCATGCAGTATTTTTCCCGTTGACTGTTAATGTGAGGACACTGTACCACCCGACTCTCGCACGCAAGGACACAAAGTTTGCGACGTAAGGGACGATGGAATCACAAAGACTACAGGAACTAGATGTGTTGCTTCGATCTCCAGTCACGGGCAAGAGAGCTTTTGTATGTTTCAACACTAGCAGGCAGGTCCTGGGTCACCCTTTAAGGAGCCCCATCTTATCCCGCCCACAAGATACTGATGATAGTTAAATGATGTTATGCCCCACAGTAGGATATAGGGGTGTATGCCGGATAAGCAGATTAGTATGAAATTTGGTACAGTATGTATGTACTTTTTTGTGTGTTGAGTTAGGTTATCAGCAGATCTCACTGCTGGTTCTGTAGTTCAGTATCTGTTGGGGATCCACGTCACTGTTAGCCTAAGGGTCTTGTGAGGAGGCTCTACTTGTCTTGGACGGTATTGTTTGTTTTGATTTTAATGTGATGAACAATGCAGGTAATTGATGGGGAACAACGGAGGAAGATAAGTGTGTGTGAGAGTACTGTACTGTACTGTACTTTACTTGTGTCGCACAGGTCGAGTCAGGGTTTCACGTGAGCAGTAGCAGCACACACCTTTGTAATTATTCATGGTGGCTGGGTTGCGTGTTAGGGCGGTCAGTGCCCTGCCTAGATACATTAATAGTACTGTATACTTATATTTCTTAGAATTGGGTATATGAACCAAAACAGTCCTCAGCACAATATAAATTGGGTATATGAACCAAAACAGTCCTCAGCACAATATAGTTGACGTTTATTTATCTACAGTACATGGCGAGTACAGTACATGTCCACAGTTGAGCTCCAGAACGTAGAGAGTTGTAGTGTGTGAGTGCACGCTGGAAAAGGTGTGGTGAGGGAGAGAGGAATGGATGGATGGAGTAAAATTTTGCATATAGCGGCAGCTGTTAATGTGTCATGCACGGATGTTTGTGCTCCAGCGTGGAGGAAGGAGAGGATGGGCTAGGAGTGGAAGTTGGGGATCTGGAAGAGAGAGAGGAAAGGAGCGAGTAGGGGGGGTTTAAATGTACATAGCACGTGTGGTGATGTGCACATCTGTATGTTAACGTGCGCTTGTGTAGTAAGTACGTGCGCTTGTGTGTGTGTAAGTGTACGTGCGCGGTGATGAAGCAGGCGAGTATAAGCCTTGTGTAGTGGTGGCCAAGGTAGTGGTGCCCCTACCTCCCCCTCCAACCGTCCACCCAGTAACGGATCTTCTCTCCTCTCCTGCACCTCTCCACCCTACCCCGACACTGCTGACTCTACCACACCGGAGTTAGCGGCTAGTTTGCCCTCACTCAGGCCCCGCCTGTACCGGTTTTGGAGTGAAGCTTTGAAGACATCTCAACGGTTGTGTGTATGTGTATTTGTGTATGTTCGTGCGTGCGTGCGTGCGTGAGCGAGCTCGTGTGTGTGCGTGAGGTCATGTGCTCGTGTGTGTGCGTGACCCTCAAGTTGTTAATAATAATGAACTTCGGACATCACACACACACACACATTCGTTAATAACAGTAAAAGTACCAACCCTGTACACACACACACACACACACACACACACACAGAGTACCATGTTGCTGCGTCTCTGTTCACCAAAGGTCAGTTTTATCCCCTGGACTGGTGATGTGTGTGGAAGGAACTGTGTCAGTGAGTGTTCTTCCTGTAGCATAAAACCTTCAGCTGCTCAGAACATCCTGTGTTATAACTATCGTCTATCTCTTAGGAAACGCCTCCGCTAATAGATATGACATTGTCGCGTGTTTCATCTCTCTCTCTGTCTTTTATTTGATGAATGTTTGGGATTAAATTTTTCATTAAGATTTGGGTACTCCACTTATTCGACCTCTTGGTTATTCGGCCTAATGCTAAATGTGGGAGTTAGGTTAATGGAGGTCAGGTTAGGTTAGGTGAGGAGAATGTTCACTCATCAGGTGAAATAAGCCCGGTATTCCAAATCATCATTAGATACGAATTATTATGATTTATGATGGTATTTACCTGGCAGTTGTCGTTCACTGTTACGTCATGGTGTGTGACCTGATGTGCTCCACACCTGTTTGTACCGTAATAACCGACTGATGGTGTTGACGAATTACTGTAGGTGTGAAACAGTCTGGAGGCCTCCATCCACCTTCCCAAGTGTCACGGTGGAGCTGGAGAGAAGGGTGAGAGTGGGTATTTGCGTTGGTGGTTGAGTAGGATGGGTAAGGCGATTTGTGAGGTGAGTGGATGTGTGTGTGTGTGTGTGTCAGTCATGGGTAGTGAGGCTGGAAGTCGTAGTAAGGCCAGGCGATACAGTGTTGCTGAGATAGTGCTTGTCGGTGGTGATAGTTGCGTTGTGATAGTGGTTATAGGTGGTGTGATAGTGATTATCGGTGGTGTGATAGTGGTTATAGGTGGTGTGATGGTTATAGGTGGTGTGATAGTGGTTATCGGTGGTGTGATAGTGATAGTAGTTATCGGTGGTGTGATAGTGGTTATAGGTGGTGTGATAGTGGTTATCGGTGGTGATAGTGATAAAGTTATCGGTGTGATAGTAGTTATCGGTGGTGTGATAGTGATAGTAGCGGTGTGATAGTGGTTGGTGCGATAGTAGTTATAGGTGGTGATAGTGTTATAGGTGGTGGATAGTAGTTATCTGTGGTGTGATAGTGATAGTAGCGGTTGGTGTATATGGTTGCGGTGGTGTGTGATGGTGATAGTGGTTATGGTGGTGTGATAGTGATAGTTATCGGTGTGATAGTGGTTATAGGTGTGATAGTAGTTATCTGTGGTGTGATAGTGATAGTAGTTATCGGTGGTGTGGTGGGTTATAGGTGGTGATGGTGATAGTGGTTATAGGTGATAGTGGTTATCGGTGGTGTGATAATAGTAGTTATCGGTGGTGTGATTGTGGTTATAGGTGGTGTGATGGTGATAGTGGTTCTTGGTGGTGTGTGATAGGTTATAGGTGGTGATAAGGGTTATCGGTGTATGAGTATAGGTTATCGGTGGATAGTGATAGTAGTTATCGGTGGTGTATAGTGATAGTAGTATCGGTGGTGTGATAGTGATAGTAGTTATCGGTGGTGATGGTGATAGTGGTTGTATGGTGATGGTGATAGTATAGGTGGTGTGATAGTGATATTGGTGGTGTGATAGTGGTTATAGGTGGTGTGATAGTGGTTATAGGTGGTGTGATGGTGTTAGTGGTATCGGTGGTGTATGGTGATAGTGGTTATAGGTGGTGTATAGTAGTTATGGTGGTGTGATAGTGGTTATAGGTGGTGTGATAGTGAAGGTGGTGTGATGGTGTTAGTGGTTATCGGTGGGTGATAGTAGTTATCGGTGGTGTGATGGTGATAGTGGTTATAGGTGGTGTGATGGTGATAGTGGTTATAGGTGGTGATAAGTGATAGTATACTGGTGGTAAGTGGTTATAGGTGGTGATAGTGGTTATAGGTGGTGTGATAGTGATAGTAGTTATCGGTGGTGTGATAGGGTTATAGGTGGTGTGATGGTGATAGTGGTTATCGGTGGTGTGATAGTGGTTATCAGTGGTGTTGATAGTAGTTATCGGTGGTGTGATGGTGATAGTGGTTGATGGTGGTGTGATAGTGGTTGTTGGTGGTGGTTATAAGAAGGGTCGCATTTCTGTTGTATTATATTCCTTTAAGCAGATGTGGGGGCAGGGTTAAGCAGGTGTGGGGTGGGTTAAACAGGTGTGGGGTGGATTTAATGTTCAAAAGCTGAATGGTGTATGGGTTAAACAGGTGTGTGATTAAACAGTTGCGGATTGGAGGTAAACTGATATGTGGTGGTTAGTGTGGTGAAGGGGTTGTGTTCGGTAGGTTATGGTGGTGGTTGGTGTGGTAGAGCGTTATTAGTAGGAATATTGGTGCGCTGTTTGCTTCCGCTGGTCTGCAGTGTGTGCTAGGATTGTATGGCGTGTCCAGCACTGGCTTCCCTGTTGATCAGGCTGGTACCGTGTGGGTGGTTGTGGGTGGGGGGGGGGTAGTGGTGGTGAGACAGGGGTGTGGGGATAGTGGTGAGACAGGGTGTGGGGGAGGGAGACAGGGTGTAGGGAGGTAGTGTGAGACAGGGGGGTAGTGGTGTGAGACAGGTGTAGGAGGTAGTGGTGGTGAGACAGGGTGTAGGAGGTAGTGGTGGTGGAGACAGGGTGTAGGGAGGTAGTGGTGGTGAGACAGGGTGTAGGGGGTGGTGGTGGGAGGCAGGGTGTAGGGGGTGTTGGTGGTGAGTAGGGGGTGGTGGGGTGAGGCAGGGTGTGGGGGGTATTGGTGGTGAGGATGGGGTAGTGGTGGTGAGGCAGGGGTAGTGGGGGTGAGGCAGGGTGTAGGGGTAGTGGTGGTGAGGCAGGGTGTAGTGGGGGTGAGGCAGGTGGTGGGGGGTAGTGGTGGTGAGGCAGGGGGTGAAGGTTCCAAGTGTTCCCTGAAGAATGCAGTGATGGGTAGGGAACACCGGGTAACACTGAAGTCCGTTTATTCGGATAGGAGAATACAGTGGGACTAGCGTGTGCCATGCACGGCCCACGAAGTCAGACTGAGACTGCTCACAGGCAGCCTTGGGGCAATGCACATAACACTTGCAGTGTTGCCACGTAATTATATACATAGATGCTACTCGGCACAGTAGCTTATATAAGGCTCGGCACAGTAGCATAG